AATTGAAAAATATCTCCAGATTTTGCCAAATGGCCTTTGGGTGGAAAACAGGCCCCCGCTGAGAACCACTGGGTTAGGCAAATGTAAAGTTTATCTTGTGCATCATACGCTTAGTAATCTGCACATCTACTGCATTCTCAGAGATAGAAGCGTTATTGGCTATCAATGGGCCCATTGTACCCAAGAGTGATGTTGGGGCAAGGGGAGGCCTCTGATGGAGGAGAGGGTTTCAAACCTGCTATCATAGCAGTCATGACATTGTTTTGAAATTTCCAATAACTTTTAAGGGACAGACAATTTTTTTATATCAATTACGTTTTTAAGGCTGAGAAACTGAGCTAGAGAATAAGAAATCGCCCAGAAAATTATTTCCTGTTTTTTCAAAAACACACTGGATTATGAAACAGAGATGTAAGTACTTGGATTCTATGCCTGTGACAACACAGGGCAGTATTACCAATGACAGTGACAGCAGGTGCCCTTTATGGACAGCTTGGTGTGCTCCAGGTAACTATCTGAAACATTTCATACACAATAGTTTATTCAAGCCTCTTGGCCCCACCTGCTAGTAAAAAAGGATGGTCTCTATTTTATAGATACAAAAAACTGTGGCTCAGGGAAGTTGAAGCACTTGCTCAAAGAAAGGCTCTTTGTGATGCTTCTGAATTTCCCACCATATATTTGTAATCACATCAATCTTGTTTTAGGCCTTTGAGAAGCTGATTTTTCATCTCAGATATTTAATCTACCAAAAGAAGAATTCAGCAATCACATTTCCAGAAGTTAATGCACTACTTCGTGCCAATCTTAGAGGCAAAGGATAATTTACCTTGAAGGTGGGGATGGATCTCCTTCTATCTACATGTAGTAAGTAGGGAGGTCAGACGCTTTGGTCTGCAAACTGGGCTGGCACAGCGTCTAGTCTCTTGCAGAGTAGTTAATAAGCATTTCACAGTCTACTCAAAAAATTTGAAAAGTTGGGGCGCCTGGGTGGCTCAGTCCTTAAGCGTCTGCCTTCGGCTCAGGTCATGATCCCGGGGTCCTGGGATCGAGCCCCGCATCGGGCTCCCTGCTCGGCGGGGAGTCTGCTTCTCCCTCTCCCACTCCCCCTGCTTGTAGGGGGGAGTTCCCTCTCTTGCTCTCTCTCTGTCAAATAAATAAATAAAATCTTTTAAAAAAAAATTTGAAAAGTGGAGATACAAACAATGGAGTGACGTGAAGTAAATGCAAAATTTATAACCATGAATTCCAGTTGTGACAACTGTGAACTCTGTGCAGTTCAGCTCAGTTTACTCTGTGCAGGTTTACTTTCAAAGCTCGTTCTATCGTTCTTAATTATTTTTGGTGAAAGAATGCGGCAAGGGTATGGAGAACAAGCCCACGGGAAAGTCTCAAACCTAACTTGAAGGAAGACTTTCAAACGTAATCGCTAACAAGCCAGACATGTTTACCAAGGCCAATGCCAGCTGAGTTTCTTGAAATGCTTGTCATTTGTCATCTGATAAAGGTGCTAATAATGTGCATTTCCATGGCTTAAAGTTGGAGCAAGAAGGCATGGCACAAATACACTGGGTAATTCGTACCTGAAATAACTGGGACTTCTTTCATAATACCTGCTGACAGCTATCTATTTCTAACTCACCTCTAGCAGAAGGAAAATGGAAAACAGTGCAGTGTGTGGCCATTTGTGGTTACGCATGGTACTCGAATTCTGAGTTATTTCTGTAATGTGGTTGGTGGACCACCCCCAACATGTCCTTCGGTGAACTACCAAGGAAAAAAAAAAAAAGAAAGAAAAGAAAGTCCTCCTCCAGAAAGAGATTCCACATTAGCCTCTCCTGATCCTGAGGACTCCAAGTAACAAGCACCAGGGAAGCAAGGCAAAGCAGCTGCTGCTCCGGCCAGTGACAGGAGACAGTCCCATTCTTTCTAGGACTGGCAGCGAGCTCACTTCTTCAGCATAACCAAGAAATGAAACTGTTCCTTTCCACACTAATGGTGGTGTGCTCCTGGATTCTGATGACGTGCATGTGCATGTGCACGCTCACACATGCCATGTGCACACATCCTAACACTGTGACTGTGATGTGGGTGATCACCATGCACTTTCCATCCTGGAAGGCTTCTCTCCTTCGCCCCGTCTGGGTTAGATGCTCTTCAGCGGTTTTTGCATACCAAGGCCTAGAGGGTGAGCGGATGCTGGTCAGGCAGAAAGGGAAAATACACACTTGCTTGGCCACACTCTGGTTGTGTAATATCCTCTCTATTCATCTGGTTCCTCATCTGTAGGCATGAGGATTAGTAACATCTACCCGTCATGCTTACTGTAAGGATTAGAAATAATATCTGAAACTTGGTACGGGGGGCTTAATCAATGGTGGGGATTGTTAATGAAAATTGCTTTAATTTTGTTAGTTTGGTTTTCACAGTAGTCTATTGTATCTAAGTAATGTTCTGGGATATTAGCATCATTTTTCATACTATATTCAATTACCTTTTTGTTGAGTTATAAATGAAACACTGCTCCATTTAAACTCCTAGACTATCAGCCTGAAAACTGAAATTTTTGTCCATGGTTATAATATGGGCATTTTCCCCATCAGAAAGGAAGAGTTAAAGACTTATGGGTCCTCTAAGAGGCCATTTGAGCACTAAAATTCTAGTATTTCATGATGAGGAGTCTTATTTCTGCTATTTCTTACGTCTTGCTTGGTTGTTCGGTGCAGTGTTTTGTGTATTACCCTGTGTTACTTATGTTCGGAGGTTACTATTATTATGCATCGTAACACAAAAGCTGAGCTGGAACATCAAGTACTAGTATCATGAGTTCTTCTAAAAATCGGCAGTGCATCTTCCTTATGAGGTTTAAAAACAGCTAACTGGCTTATCAGCAAGACTGCTGGCTGCACCATGATGGAGCACTGGCTTCTGAGGAAGCAGGTGTCTGCAGCAAAGGCTTTCGGTGGCTCCCTCTGCTTCCAGGGTCCCGGGACAGGCTGCTACCATAGCGTCACCTGAGCACCCGCAGAACAAAGGGAAATTGAGCAGTGTGGGGCTTCGCTCTAGTCCAGCCTCCCAGGATACAGACAGAGAAGGCAAGATGCAGCGTATGCTTGCTGGACTGAATTAATAGCGATAAGGACCTTTTCAACGGATGCAACACGTGATCTCTCTGAAGGAGAAAGGTACCACCTCAGGAATGCACTCAGAATGTTGTGCCTGAAATTCAGGCCCCAGCACTGTCCGGTAGCAACAGTTTTCTTCCTCTCTAGGACTCAGGGGTTCAGTGCCCCAGACCCAGCTCCTGGGCACCAGACATAACCTGGGCTTCAGTGTCCACGTGAAAGGTAGATTCAGGTCTGGAGTCCTTGCTCCCCTCACTTCAGTTACCTTGTTACTCCTCGCAGTGGCCCAGCCTGCGGAGAGATCTGATGAGGTACAGGGACTTGAGAGTGTATATGTTACCATGGTTACCGCCCTCCTGCACAAGTGTTATATCACTTCCTTTTCCCTGGGAGTCTGGGAGGAAGGAATGGGAGGAATGGAAACCAGCTGTAGGCTAAGGGGTGGTGGTGTCTCATCTTCTCAGCGTCAGTAGTGAAGGTTCTAGTCACAGCCACTTAATAACAGTAGGACCTTGGGAAAACGTGCATAAAAGAGGGATTTGGATTACACTGTCTCTAAGTCCCATCCAATTTAAAAATTCTATGGCCCCATAATTTTACTTGGTGAGGAAAGAGTTCCGCTCTCCTAAGTTAAATCTACAGACACACATGTGATATGTAACATACAGTATTTTCATTAAGGGAAGAAACTTTGTCATACTGTACATCCTTGAATGGCTAACCAAAAGCAGTGTAATGAGAGCACTACATGGAAACCCCACATCCCAGGGAGCTGGACTGCTAGCGGCCTCAACCGTGAGGAACACAGCTGGGAACCGGAAGTATGTAATTGCAAGAAAACTCCATTCCCTCAGCTCCTGAGGAGACATAAGGCATTAGCCTCTACTCTTTTTCAGAGTACAGAAGATGAAATGAGGGAAAGAGATTAAAAATGTAGGTTTTCTTGGAGCAGAAACACTCTGGGGATTACTCATTGGCCAAAGGGCTGTGGGATGGGAAGTACAATATGAATGAAAGGTGATAGAAACTAATAAGCCGCTACTTTAGGAACAATGGTCTTTTTACTCCCCTACTTCACACAGTGAATGCTTCAGAAAGCATGGTAACTCCTTCAGGTCAATTAGAGCAGGCTTGGGTTTTTAGACAAGTACCTCTCCCATCTAAAACAAGAAATGTACTGATTCACAATGACCCAACCAATCCTCTTTTTGGCTGGAGGCTTTCCTGAAGCAAGCTTGGTGCGTAAGTAGGTGATTCACACTTTTTGGCCAGAAATACACTCATTAAAAACCAAACATTCCCCTAGTGCCACATGTTATTTCTTGCTCGTGAATCCTCCCTCCCTCTTGGCCTCAGCTGCAACAGACAATCTAGAAACTTCAGCCAGGTCTTCAGGAACACAGAGCCATCTCTAGTAGGTGCCCGACAACCTTGCACAGAGACTTCTTTTAAGAAGTGTGGTCCTTAAATCCACAGCCAATGAATTAACCATTTAACCACAAACAACTGCTATATTGTTAACAGGAGCCAGCTCCCCTGAAACAAAATAAAACTCCCTTATAAATGGAACGTACACTAATGGAAAATCCACTTTACATTCGTCCCTGTAACATTTTGTATGCATTATACTACAAAATTCCAAGAGGCCTTTTAAGAGACTTTTATGTTTGCCCTTTGTCTTCGGAGTCGAAGCGTGAAAACTATGAATTAATTACTGCTTCGAATCCTTAAGGATATATATTTCTCTCTCTTGCCTTAGCAAAGAAGACAGAATGAGATCTTTAAATGACTTGAATAAGAGCACCTAACATTCTCAGTGTGGCTTCCAGAGTCTGTGTTTGTATTTTTGACATTGGACACGACCTGGAGGCCTACCTCCTCCTCGCTCCTTCTCTGCGTCTTCTTTCAGCAGCTTGCCGATGGAGTTATACCACTTGAATTGTGGATCAGGGATGCCATAAACACTACAATTAATCAAGGCACTGTTCCCTTCCTTGACTATGATATGGTCAGTTCTGGCAATGATTACAGGCACAGAGCCCAAGACCACGTCAGTGCCATTTAAAGTGCTATTAGTCACACTCTTAGCAGTCGCCAGAGTGGATACTAGGATTAAAAAGGGCACAGTAGGTAGAAAGCACACAGGTAGATGGTTCTTCAGTCGATCCATCTTCTTTGCTTGCTCTGTAAGGCAATAGAGATGGTTTGCCAATGGAATCTTCTATCGGACAATAGGCTGTTCAGAGCAGGCCATGGGACAAACCTGTCCTGGATCCATAGAGCTCGTTCTTGATTAAGAACCTGTTAAAAAGAAAAAAATCCACACACACATAAATATTAGCATTCATACTTTAACAATATTATTTATAAAATGTTAGAAACCCAGCTAAAATACACACCTATATAACTTTTAAACACACAAACTAGATGTTCAGAATGTTAAATTACATTTTTCACAGAAATCATAACAATACGATTTTGCTATTTTTGCTGTTGAGACATATAGCTTAGTAGGAACAAATATATACTCTGTATGTTAAATTTACATCACATGACTTCAGAGAGTTCCAAAACCAACTCAGGCTTCCTTCATTTAGCAGGGTAAGGTCTCCTCCCCTGTCACCTGTTGCTCTTGCAGATGACCTGACTGTTCACCTGGGGCCCTTCTTCACCTCTTCTCCTTCCTTCCAGTTGATTTCAGTGGTCACAGCTTGGGTGCTGCCAGCATTTGGAAGCGCTGCGCCAGAATCAGTCTGGCATTCTCCTCACTCCCCATTATGGCTTCTAGATATGCCTTCCCCCTGTTTCCGGCAACGGCCCATGCTCCTTTGAGCTTCATACCATCTAGCTCTCTCGGCTCCATGTAATTGTTATCTATCAACTCGTGATCACTCACTGAATTCCCTGGTTTCAATCTTCATCTGTCTCCCGGAGGCGAGGGGACATCAGTATGAATGGGGTGACACTGTGGTGGCTGTGTTTATGTCCAAAGATCTAACCTTCACCTACATCTCTATCCTCCATTTCATCCGCGAACCACGTTAGCCACACCCTGCACCTCTCCTCTCTCCACATTCTCAATTCCAAACTGCCAAGTGGTTCTGAAGTTCTACCATCTTTAACTGCACCTGACCATTCTTCCAGATCCCTTACTCCCCTCACTGAACTTTCTAGCCCTTCTGTTTTCCTCAGTCTCTATCTCTGCCCCCCACCAGACCTGCATGCTCCACTTTTGTGTCAGTCTAGACCCAGTGACGTGGACCACAGCCCCTGGTATCCTCCGCCCTGTCCTTCTGCCACAACTGCTCTGCCAGTAGACAGCTGCGATCAAGCCGATCACTTGTCATCCTGGTACCTGCACCCAGGAGGCAGGAGCACCTACTGGGCAGAATATACAACCATGTCATTACTGCCAAACTGAAGGAACCACCTCGCCCTAGCCAGGCCCTCGGTGACATCTGGCGATCTGTGTATCAGTGCTGAGTTCGTTCAGTAGCCTTTTCCCAAAGACGCCTATAGACACCTTAGGGTTTTGAATCAAGCACCTTAGCCCAGTGGTATCCTTACCTTTCCCAAGAGACTGCTCCCCCACCAGGTTGTGTAGGCGTGAATTCCTACTTGCCCACCTTTTGCAAAGAATCCCTGCCCCCACGCCCACCGCTCACTCCTCAAACGACTACGTTCTGTGTTTGGCCTGCTCTTTACTGAAACAGCTCTTGCTCGAGTCACCAGTCACTCTGAGTTGCCAAGTTTTCAGTCTTTCTCTTGCCAGATTTCTGTGGCAAGTGCCACTACAGTGAGCAAAGTTGCCTCCCCGGCTTCCACACTCTGCTCCTCCCAACTGCTCTCGTTCTTCTTGACTGGTTCCTCTTCTTCTTTCCAGCCCTTACAAGGCAGTTAAACCCTGGAGTTTCATCACTGGCCCTCTTCTCTTTTTACCCTCAGCTCTTACTAAAGTTCCATTTCCATGCCTTTATTTAATAACTCTCAAATCCATGTCCTCAGTCCTGACTCCTTCCTGAACTTCCGACTGGTATTACCAACTGTCCAGTAAACAGCTTTAGGAGGATGTTTTGCAAGTAACTCAAAATTAACATCCCAAGCCAAACTCATCTGCCAACTATGCTACATTTCCCGCAGCCCTTCCTGTCAGTTCAGGGCACCATCATTAGCTCAGGTATGCATGGATAGAAGCCTCGATTCCACTATGACTCTTGGCCCCTCAGAAGGTACGTGGCTACAGGATGCTGATTCCATCTCTTGATAAATATCACTTGGATTGTTCCACCCCTCCTGTCCTCTGAGTGAGCCTCAGCTTAGCCTATCTTTTCCTTACCAGAAATGGCGGGGTCGCCTTCTATATCATCTGCCTGCCTTCAGTCTTACCCCAGGTCCCAATCCAATCCCATTAACCCAACAACCGTTCTGCAGCACAAATTCTACGGTGCCATTTCTTTACTTAGCAACCTTCAGTGTTTCTGCACTGTCTACGTTATAGAATCGGAATTCCTTACCCTTTTTATTACTTTATTATATTAATTTTTTAATAATTACTGAACATCAACTATTAGGCAGACATTATTGTAGGTCCTAGAGATAGAAGAGTAGACAAGACAGACCTTTCCTGTTATGTGGATATTATATTCTCATGGGGAAAAACAGACAATAAATAAATACCACGTAAATAAGAATTTCAGCTAATGATGCATGCTTCGGAAAACACACAATGATGTACTCAAATACTGAGTTAGGCAATCAGGGAGAACTGCACTGAGGAGGTGGGAACTTCACCAAGGAGGTGGCCCCTGAGCTGCAGCCTCTTTAGGAATCAGCCACACCTAGATCTGGGAGAAAAGCGTTCCAGGAAGAACAACAAAAGCAAACAGAGAGGAGTGGACAGGTCCAGATCACCTAGGACTTTGTAGGACAGAGTAAAGGAGTTTGGATTTACCTACGTTCACTGGAAAATGTTAAGCAAAGGAGTGACAGGATATGATTTTTTAAAATCAACTCTCCTGTTGATTTTAATATACAAATATTATATTTGTATTTGTATATTATTTAATATATATTTAACATATTTAACATATTAATAATATATATTATATAAATATATAATATATATTTAATATACAAATATATTTGTATTTGTATATTATTAATATACAAAATATACAGCTTTGTATAATTTACAAACAATAAAATGAGCCCTTTTAGGTATACATTTTAGTGGGCTTTGACAGATGTATGTAACTACGTAACTACCACAATAAACAAAATATGGAATGTTTCCATTATCACCAAAAGCTCCCTTGCGCCCCATGTTTTTACTGATCCATTCCAGTATTTGCTGTGTGTATATGTATGGCATGAGGTGAGGACTGAGGTCCATTTCTCCCCCATATGGATATCCAGTTGTTTCAGCACCATTTCTAAAAAAAAAAAAGACTATCATTTCTTCCATGGATTATCTTGCCTTCTTGTCAAAAACAGTGAGTCTACTTCTAAACTCCATTCTGTTCCACTAATGTTTACGTCTATCCTTGGGCCTGTACCACACTAACCGTTCTGTCTGCCTCATTCCTCTTGGCATCTGTAGTGTCTGAAATTGTCCCCCACAGTAAGTTATTGAATAAATGAATCTCTCTCCAAAGGCAGAAATAATTATTCCAATTCTGTAGACAATGAAACTGAAGAGGTAAATAAATCAGGGGTAGTAAATTAGCTTCAGAGCATACATTTCTTCAGTGGGAAAGATGAAGAGTTTTCTTAGTGCTGTAGATTTCCATACTCCCCCTGGACTCGAGGGCCTTCCTGCCCCAGGAAGGCCAACACATTTTTCCACCAGCAGGAATTATGGTCTAAGGGAGATAGCGCAGGCTTCAACAGCATGACACATACCCTGTTATGAGTTTGTAAATGTTTTTTTTTTTTTAAGATTTTATTTATTTATTTGAGAGAGAGAGAGAATGAGAGATAGACAGCACGAGAGGGAAGAGGGTCAGAGGGAGAAGCAGACTCCTTGCTGAGCAGGGAGCCCGATGCGGGACTCGATCCCGGAACTCCAGGATCATGACCTGAGCCGAAGGCAGTCGCTTAACCAACTGAGCCACCCAGGCGCCTGAGTTTGTAAATGTTTTCTTTACTTGGCTAACTTGTGGTTTCCTTTGAACAGGGAAGTTGTAAAGCTGACCTATTCACTACAGAATGGTCGTTAAAAGCATGGCCTCAGGTTGCAGGTAGACTGGGCCAGGACCCGGGATCTAACCACCCTCATTGGCTATGTGTTTCTGGCCAAGAACTCACCAAGTACAGGACAATTACAAGGATTCATGATCAAATGTTCATAACGTACTTACGTAACACTCAGCTTGATAAACAAGAATTGCCAGCCTAACGTATAAAGTATCCTTTGCTGAAATTACGCTTCTCAAGTTGATTTTTATTATAGCATTTAAAAGACCTACCTTGTTTTTGGTTTTGTTTAAGACATTTTTGGGTGCCTGGGTGGCTCAGTTGGTTAAGCGACTGCCTTTGGCTCAGGTCAAGATCCTGGAGTTCCGGGATCGAGTCCCGCATCGGGCTCCCTGCTCAGCAAGGAGTCTGCTTCTCCCTCTGACCCTCCCTCCTCTCATGCTCTATCTCATTTTCTCTCTCAAATAAATAAAATATTTAAAAAAAAAAGACATTTTTGACTGCCCTCCCACCACCACTGGAAGCAATTACAAAGGATTTTCAGCACTGGCTCCTTTTGCAGGAACTCGAGTCTGAAAATACACGAGCTGCCTCTCTGGGCAGACCCTGAACTGAGCATCCTGAGGACAGTATCTGGGGTCACTCCTCTCTGATGCCTTGATGCCCATACCAGAGCTGATGCCTGACTAAATAGCTTGGGGGAGAATGAAAGACAAGACAACGTATGAGGTAGGTTCCAGTAAGTGTGTGTAGTAAATATTCTGTGACATTTCTTTTTTTCACAACTAGGGAGAATGCAACAAATGGAAGATCAAACTGGGTTTTAAAATGCAGAACTCTAAAACTGTTTTCAAACAAAGGCTGGCCACTTTGGTTTTCTACTTTCAAACACCTTGTGCTAGCAAGAATAAAGAGAATGGGACACTGCTGTTCTATTATATTTTAATAATGTCAGTAGGTACTTTGGGCTAGAAACACAGCAACTGTTCCAAAAATGTAACGAGTTCCCTTAGAGTCCTTCACAGGTACAGAGGCGGAGATTTTAGTGCAGGGATTTCAGACAGCAAACTCATTCCTCCCTCCCCCATCTCATTCCCATTTTGAAA